TTAGTTAACTTCAGTTAGCGGTCGTCTCGCGTTTCTGGTGGCGTTACAAAATCTGACATCGTTCGCGGATAATTTCATGCCGCCGGCGAATCGGATGCGCGAAGGGATCGGATATTAGCGAGCTTCCACAGGGAGTTTCGGCAAGACAGAATTCGTTCGACAGGAAAATAGCCGGAAGTGGCCCGGCCGCGCTGCTTTCGTGCGAATGTCGCCGTTCGCGGGACGCCGGTCTTTTCTTTTCGACGAACAAAGCTCGTAAAGCTGGCGTCGCAGCCACGCGATGTAAAGTTCGCCTCGTAAAGCCCCGACCTAATTCGCCGGCGTAATAAACCCGTAATGAAACGCCGGCTTCGCGCAGCTTCCTTGCCCGCTCGTGAACGAACGAATGAAGGGACAAACAACGAACGCATTTCTCGACTGCGTCCGCCGATATCTCGGCGCAGGAAGCTGGTGGCTGAAGTACAAGGTTAAGAGATTGTACCCGAGGGGAAGGAAGTGGTCAGACGACGTAGAATGCTCCCTGACCGCGACTTTACGATACACACGACTCGACAGTACGCACCTCACGTGTTTGGGTTTCCAACTTTAACCTGGCGATTTAAATTCCGCACCTATAGCCGTAGCTGCGAATAAAGAAGAAAAACGTTCGCAAGACTTTTATGTGCGAACGCAATTTTTAAGAGGAGAGAAGGCTGAAGTCAATTAATCGAGTCGGCGAGTTACAAATCGATTGAGTTACAAAATAAGAGTGCCAATACCTGGACACTGATAGCACTGCTATCCAACTCTGGACATTCTTATTGTTTTGGCTTTTAAATGCGAATATAAAACTTTTGAATTAACTTTCAATCTAGAATATATATACACTTGTAGTTTACGTTAAAAGTTTAAATATATTCGTATTTCAAGACAAAACAATAAGAACGTTCAAAATTAGATATCGGTGTTATTAGTGTCCAGGCATTGGTTGCTTTTACCAGATCCTCCCGGATCTGTCTGAGATCTACTCGCGAAGCACTCGGGTGTCGCATCGCCCCCGTGTTAATTCCCCATGTTGGTACGCTATGCAAGTAGTCACGTTCTCGAATCGCAAAGCTCGAAGTTACTGAGGATGACAGGCGTCGAATGCGGCTTAACGCGAATCCCGCGAGATTCCCGAGTAAGCTGAGCAGCACGAAATCAAAGCGTGACATCGACGACGTTGTCGTTGCATCGTCGTCGTCGCGATCAGTCAAATCCGGTGTATCATCAACTGAGAAGTCGTATCCGGTTCCGCGACTCACCGACGCCTCTCTCTTTCTCTCTCTCCCGTTTCTTGCCGAGGACGCCTTCGCCGTCGTCGTTTCACCGACGCTCTTATCCAAGACAATCTCCGTCTCCCGACTGGTCCTCCTTTCTCTTTCCCGGCCACGGCGGGAATACCTGAACATTCCACGGCGTAGTACGCGTCCGCATTAGAGGAGGATGCGAAGGAAGCTCCGACTACCGGGATTAGATTATCGCATAAGCGGCTTATTTATCGCTGCGACGCTGTGCGAATTCGCAACAGACGCGCGTCAGGCAATCAGACGCGTCGAAGAGCGTGCAGTAAGTACCGTATTCGTCGCTTATGTCGCGTACACGCGGGTAAAAAGAGAAGGAACGAGTCGGCCGCGAGGTCAAGAAAGAGAGAGAGAGAGAGAGAGAGAGAGAGAGAGAGAGAGAGAGAGAGAGAGAGAGAGAGAG